GGGGATTCCGGAATTTCCCAAAATTCCCGAATTTCTCCCCAAGCCGACCGCGAGGTCCAACGGATCCTCCTGGAGCTCCTGAACCAGATGGACGGCTTCGACCAGAACGTCAACGTCAAGGTCCCAAAATGGCCCAAAATGGCCCAAAATTGTCCTAAAATGGCCCAAAATATCCAAAAATGTCCAAAAATGTCCAAAATGTCCCAAAATGTCCCAAAATGGCCCCAAAATGTCCCAAAATGGCCCCAAAATTTCCCAAAATGTCCCAAAAATATCCAAAAATATCCCAAAATGGTCCCAAAATGGTCCCAAAATGTCCCCAAATATCCAAAAATGTCCCAAAATATCCAAAAATGTCCCAAAATATCCAAAATTGTCCCAAAATGTCCCCAAATATCCAAAAATGTCCCCAAATATCAAAAAATGTCCCAAAATGGCCCCAAAATTTCCCAAAATGTCCCCAAAATGTCCCAAAATATCCAAAAATGTCCCAAAATGGCTCCAAATTGTACCAAAATGTCCCAAAATGGCCCCAAATGTCCCAAAATGTCCAAAAATGTCCCAAAATGGCCCAAAATGTCCCCAAAATGTCCCAAAATGTCCCAAAATGGCCCAAAATGTCCCCAAAATTCACCCAAAATTCACCCAAATGTCCCAAATTGTCCCCAAAATGTTTGGGATTTTTTGGAGATTTTTTTGGGCAGTTTTTGGGATTTTTTGGGGGGGATTTTTTGGCGTTTTTTGGGAATTTTTTAAAAGTTTTTTTGGGGGGATTTGGGACTTTTTTTGTGGTTTTTGGGGATTTTTTTGATTTTTTAGGGGTTTTTTTAGGTTTTTTTGGGGGGTTTTTTGGGGATTTTGGGGATTTTTTGGTGGGTTTTTTGGGGGATTTTTCGGGGTTTTTTGGAGTATTTTTTTAAGGATTTTTTCGGGGGTTTTTCTGGGGATTTTGGGTTTTTTTGGGGGGATTTTTTGGGGAGGTTTTTTGGGGATTTTGGGGATTTTTTGTGGGTTTTTTACGATTTTTTTGTAAGCAATTTTTAAGGATTTTTGGGGATTTTTGGGGGGTTTTTTGTGGGTTTTTTTGAGGATTTTTATGGATTTTTTTATGGATTTTTTTGGGATTTTTTTTTGTTTTTTGGGGTTTTTTTTGGTTTTTTGGATTTTGGAAGATCTCAGGTGTGCCAACCCCACCTGTGCCCAGGTGATCGTGGCTGGGCACACCTGGGCACACCTGGATCCGCCATTTTGGTGCATTTTTTGAGTTTATTATGGTATTTTTATGGATTTTTTTGGGATTTTTTTTGGTTTTTTTGGGTTTTTTTGTTTTTTTATGGATTTTGGGAGATCTCAGGTGTGCCAACCCCACCTGTACCCAGGTGATCATGGCTGGGCACACCTGGGCACACCTGGATCCGCCATTTTGGTGCGTTTTGTGAGTTTATTATGGTATTTTTATGGATTTTTTTGGGATTTTTTTTGGGTTTTTGGGGTTTTTGGGTTTTTTTTTGTTTTTTATGGATTTTGGGAGATCTCAGGTGTGCCAACCCCACCTGTGCCCAGGTGATCGTGGCTGGGCACACCTGGATCCGCCATTTTGGTGCATTTTTTGAGGTTTTAATGGCGTTTTTATGGATTTTTTTGGGATTTTTTTTGTTTTTTTGGGGTTTTTTGGTTTTTTATGGATTTTGGAAGATCTCAGGTGTGCCAACCCCACCTGTGCCCAGGTGATCGTGGCTGGGCACACCTGGATCCGCCATTTTGGTGCATTTTGTGAGTTTTTAATGGTATTTTTATGGTATTTTTATGGATTTTTTTGGGATTTTTTTTGTTTTTTTGGGGTTTTTTGGTTTTTTGGATTTTGGAAGATCTCAGGTGTGCCAACCCCACCTGTGCCCAGGTGATCATGGCCACGAACCGCGCGGACACGCTGGACCCGGCGCTGCTGCGGCCCGGCCGCCTGGACCGCAAGATCGAGTTCCCGCTGCCCGACCGGCGCCAGAAGCGCCTGATCTTCTCCACCATCACCGGCAAGATGAACCTGTCCGAGGAGGTGGACCTGGAGGATTGTATCCTGGCACACCTGGGCACACCTGGGCACACCTGGGCAC